CCTGGGGCCCCGACGCGCAGAGACTCTCAGAGCTGCGGTTAGCCTGGCCCCTTACCGGCTGAGATCTCTCTAACAGGCCCTCTTTCAGGGCTACCAAGGGACAAAGGATATCTCATTTCCCATCTGAACTCTGGCTACGAGCGCTTGGGCTGTTGCCCAACTGCCCCAGGCCCGCCGCGCGTGGGCTGGGAACCTCCGTGCACAGCGCCGCAAGGTGCGGCTCAGCCACAGGGCCGTGGAGCCGGGGGACGTCCAGGCAGGGCCCTCATCACCCAGGGGAGGGTCGTGATGCTTCCTCACATTCGTGAGTGTCAAGAGGTCTGCCCGGCTGTGGTCTCCTTGCTCAAACTCCTTCGGCGCCCATTCGGTGTGTTACAAGAGGGAGGGCGCGACATCTGGATCACACGTGGCTTTAAGTGCGCGGGTGTCACGACCGTGCCTTGTAGGAGAACAGAAGAGACCTGACCATCCAAATGCCGGCTCCACCAGGAGTTCCTTCCATGGAAAACCGATCTCAGGAAATGCTCAGCAGCACCGAAATAAAGTAATACTTAAACACTAAAATCTATGAATAAAATTTAAAATCTTATCAAATTAAATTAAAATTTAAATGATGCCCAGCCAGTGTGGCTCAGGGGTTGAGCGTGGACCCAGGCACCAGGAGATTGCTCCTTGGGCTCCCGGTCAGGGCACATGCCCAGGTTGTGGGTCCAGTCCCCTGTGGGGGGCGTGCAGGAGGCAGCCAGCCGATGTTCTCTCTCATCATGTTCCTCTCTCTCTCCCTTCCTCTCTCTCTAAAACCAATAAAGAAAAAATAAATGTTGAAAAGAAATGATAAATTAAATGAACGACGATGGAGTCAGATGAGAGGGGAAATGCTGCACCTGCTCCTGGAGGTGGTGGTGTTCAGGGCACATTCCAGACGCAGGGAGTCCTCCCTCCCGCAAAGAAACATCACTCCCCTCCCTTCCCCCCCGGTGCCGGGCTTCCCCACGGGACTGGCTGTGGCCGGTGGAATTCCATACACTGATGGGAGCAGAGCGCTTCACGGAGAGAGAGAGAGAAACATCGATGAGAGAGAACATCGATGGGCCGCCTCCTGCAGGCCCCCCACTGGGGATTGGGCCCACAACCTGGGCACATGCCCTGACCGGGAATCGAACCGGCAACATTGGTGCAGGGGCGACGCTCCACCAGAGCCACAGTGGCTGGGCGCGCTGCATTTCTTTCAGAGATGGGGGCCCCCGAACAGAAAGACATGAACAGCTCTGACAGCCCGGGAACAGCCCTGGCTAGACCAGGTTCTGCTGCCGGAACCGCTGAGGCCCACATTTCACTGGCTTCACCACATCATCCCCAACCACCACCCATGGGCCCAAACCAATTACGTGACCCCAAAACACCCTCAAGGGAGGCTGGGAAGGAGTAGATGCTCGGATTACCCGGGGAGCACCATAGTCTCTGGCACCTGGACACCCGTTAACTACCTTCTGCACTTGCTGAAAACGGTAACGATTTCATGATCAAGGTGAAGGTAGAAGGAAGAGAACCCCCACCCCCACCCCGACACAGGGATGGGACTCTACCAAGGCACTCAGAGGACCCCCGAGGCCACCCCCGCCGCCAGAGCTCCGGGGCTGCCTCTGGCTGAAGGTCCGCCCAAGGTCAGGTGTGCGGGTGCAGCGTGGGCGGACACCTCCTGGTTCAGAGGTGGCACAGGCACAGTGCCAGCTGGGCCCTGGGACTGGGCTCATTTCAGATCCCCTCAGCGTGAGGTCAGACAGTCCCAGGGCTGCCCCGTGGAAAGGCAGGCCAAGGTGGGCTCCCTCTGCCTCAGGACGCCCCCAGACCCCTGCTGTTCTGACATCACCGCACCAGCGCTGGGCCTCCACCCCCACGGGCCCTGAACGACACACAGGGCCGGTAGCATCCCCACCAGAAACCAGGGCAGTCTTGCCCCCCTAACAATACGAACACGAGTCCCAGCAGACAGGAGGTGAGCAGATAATCAGGAGAGAAAATGGGATGGGTAATGAACACCGGACTGCTCCCCTCACCGGGAATCAAGGGGGTGCGCGTGAACACCCACGCGGGCTGTCTGGGCCCCGGACTCGCGCGTGGGAAGGTCAGGCCTGGCAGGAGGCAGGCGCCGGCCCGGGGGAGGCTCGCATTCCTCCTGCAGCAGGCCCGCCCTCTGCACATCTGCTCGCTCGAGGCTCAGTGATGGACCCCCCGGGGTTCATCCCCGGGAACACGATGAGAAGGCAAATGACATGCCTACATTTTTTATGGCGGCATCATAGCTAAGCATCGGAATGAATCGACTCAGGGGGCCAGGATCCGGCAGACATGATGACACAGAGAAGACACAGCAGGGGACACCGGACACATCCCATGGCGCAGGAGGAACGCGGACCTCGCTGTGTCCAACTACACAGACACGGCGGCATAAAAGAGACAGGACAGCCCTGGTTGGGTGGCTCCGTGGTCGGGGCATCATCCGGTACCCCAAAAGGTTTCGGGTTTCATTCCCAGGCAGGGCACACACCTAGGTTGCGGGGTCAAACCCTGGCCAGGGCGCATACAGGAGGCAACCAATTGGCGTTTCTCTCTCACATCGATAACTCCTCTCTCCCTTCCTCTCTCTAAGAACATCAATAACAACATGTCCTCTGGTGAGGATTAGAGGGGGGGAAAGATAAGAAACAAAGGAACTATTGCACCCAACGGGTGGGGTCGTGCGTGAACTTTCTCGAAAGCCTGATACTTCTGTGTATTGTTAACACGTTTTTGACCGCCCAGGAGTTAACTCGGGTTTTCCTGCCCAAACGCTGCGGACCGCGCACGAGTTAACTCGGGTTTGCCCTTGCATTAGCTATTTCAGATTCTGAAACTCCGGGTAATACAGGATTATCGTATTTGTGACTCTTCGCCCTGAGGGTCGAAGTTCGGAAAACAACACACGGTCCTATGTTCCTGAGGTAGCTGGGGAAGGGGTGTCTGCTGTTCAACTGAGCGAGCTCAGAGCCTAACGTGCAGTTTGCCCAACAACGTGCGGTCCCCGGCGTACGTCTTAGAGAGTTCTGTGCGGTACGCAGTGTGTTAATAAAGGAGAGGAAGCTTCTGAGTATAAAGACGGTGATGAGAAAGGAACACGGGAAATTAGAAGCTATTGATTTTGTCTGGCAAAAAAAACAAGCTTAGATGGTGCACCGTTCTGGGATGTATCATATGTTATCTCATTCAATCCTCACAACCCCCAACTCGGGATATTTTATCCCCATTCCACAGGTCAGGAGACTGAGGGCTGGGCTAGGGTTAGGCTCCCCCAACCTGCTTCTGAAGAATGCTCAGTCTGACGCCTGTACACGAGGCCACGAGGCTGGCCCGAGGCTGGCCCCACCACACCCCCGCTCCCACAAGGACCGCAGCAAATCCTAACTGCGCCCAACAACTTCCTGGGTATCAGCAGAGGTCACACCCGGAGGGCCCATTAGCTATGCAGACAGTGTTTAAGGCCATCTCGCTTCCTGTCCTGGCCACGCCGAGATGCTGCAGGGACCGGCCTTCTGGGCTGCCCGGCCAGCGGCACTGCGGACCTCGGCCCTTCAGGCTCCCCCACCCACAGGAGTGGGCACACAAGGGAGCTCAGGGTCCTGCTTGGGGCAGACAGGGCTCAAGTGTCTGTCCACTCCTTAGCCAGAGGGCCCCATCCTCCAACCATCCACCTAGCAAGAGGGTGCCCCACCACGAGCTGGCCCGCCCCAGGAGCCTCCCCGAAATCTGAGACACAGACCCTCACAAAGCAGCCGAGCTCAGGGGCCCTGTTGCCCGCACACCGTCTCCTGCCCCCGTGCCCAACAAGCCGCCTCCCAGCACCGGAGGGAGAGCGCCCCTCCGAGGGCTCCTGGGCGGGGCTTCGAGGCACAAGATGAAGACCACCAGGACATAAAGTGGGGCGGGCAGGGAACCGGCTGTCCTCTTTCTCGGACCATGGCGGTGGCTGGCTCCGTCCCCGAGGCCGGAAGGAGCCGGCTGGTGAGAGGGGGGGGCCAGTGGGCACGGAGGGCAGGCTGGGTGCAGGGGTGAGAGGCCAGGGCAGTGCCAGTAGCGCGGTGCCCAGCCTCGGCCTCGCCAGCACCGCAGGCGACCCACTCGCCGGCCCGTGGCGACACGGCTCCTTGCACAGCAGACAGGACCCGCGGAAGGCGCCATTCCAGCAGCTTCCCAGAGCATCCCGGAAAGGCCTCGACAGGACGCGGCGGACCATCGGGCCCTCCCGCGGAGCCAAAGCCGCAAATCAGTCCACTCACGGTGTCTGCACACAGCCCGCGGGCCTCGCCAGCAGGTCTGGGTGGGTTTTCCTTTTTTGTGGATTTCGGGTTTTTAAAAATGAATTATTACTTGAGAAACACATCTTGGACACCAAACGGTTCCGTAGGAATGTGGGGGCCCACAGAGGAAGCAGCCCTTGCCCAGCGAGTCAGCCACAGCCCGGGACCTGGGAGCCAGCCCTCTGCCCCTCCCGGGGCAGCAGATGGAAATATTGGGGACGATAATCACCGAAACGCTTCCTCAAATCCCCCTACTCGCCCGCCTGGTTGGGAACATCAAAGGGCTGCCTGACATTCTTGGACCACGTTCATGTTCCACAAATAAAGAGATCGCCCGTCGCCCTGGGCTATGTCTTTCCCGAGCTCATTGGCTGAGCCTGGAAGAAAGGAAGCTGCCCGGACAATGGGCCCTCGGCGTGGCGGGTGGAGCCCAGGAGCTGGGCCCGGGCTCAGAGCTCGAGCCAAGGGAATTGTGCTCTGACCTGAATTCGCAACAGAAGCCAGTTTGGGGGGGTGGGAGCAGCTCTCTGAATGGCTGTCTGTCCCGAAGCGTCGTGTGTACCTATTTGCATCTTCCAGCCGAAGGAAGGTGGCCAGGCTGCCCACCGGCAGGGCCACCCAGCCCCAGAGACGCACAGGAGCGAGCCCACCCTCAGGCTGACTCACCGCCACAGAGAACTTTCCAGCACCTTCTCGGTGTCCGCGTGGTAGTACTTCGTGAGGATCAGGATCACCTGTGGTGGCAACAGAAGGAAAAGGCAGAGATCAGTGAGTTTCGAGGTTCTCGAAGAGGGATCTAGTGACACTCCCCGTACCCCCAGGATTTGGGGTCTCTGGGGTGCCAGCACCCCAGGCGTTCCTGGGGAGCTCGGGCCACCTGCCCCAGAGCCCTCAGACACGGAGCTTGTTCTGCCCTGAGAACCTGCTTCTGCCCTTCAGAATGTCGGGGGACAGCTCGGTCCTGTGAGGTCCACCCAGGAGCTGCCGCTCAGCGGGAGTCGTTCAAACCCAGCCCTGGACCACCTGCAGCTGAGGTCACAGGGCCCCGAGGGTGAGTGCAGGACAGAAGTGCCAGGCTTCGGGGCGGGGCCCTGCCCCCTGGCACCTGGGAGAGCACTCCGGCCGAGGCTGCTCCGGACTTCCTGAGTGGTGGCGAGGGCAGTCAGGGCCGCGGGTGCGCGGGGCGAGCCGGACAGCTCAGACAGCTGGCGGTGGTCCACAGTCACCGCGGCGCCCACTCTTCGCCGTCGAAGCGCTTCACCCCCACCCCAACAAAGCCGTTTGCGCCGCAGGCCTGTGCAAAAACCTCAGCTCTTTATAAAAATGAAGGTACAGGTGTTTGAGAGCACCCCACAGTTCTTCAAAACCATGCATAAGAACAAGGAGATGAGGGTTCGCCTGCAGGGTGGGGGGGCAGAGCGCTCCCCCGTTACTACCCCAGCCGCTGCCTTTTCCCGCACATCAAATCTCCTTTCATTCACGGTGCCTGTGAGCTGCTCCGAACCCTCCCGTTGCCATGGGAACCCCGAGAAGTAAAGGGGGAGCACCCCCTGGCTCCCAGCACAGCCATCCGCCTGGTGATTCGGAGTCAGCCCACTGGCCACCGCCACGCTTGGCTCTGCCCGGGCGTGGCTGCTGCTGGCCCATCTTTCTTTGGCTGGTGATGAAACAGGGAAGATGTGAGCAGGGATGTCAACCGAGAGGGGACAGTGTGCATTTCAGAGGCAGCGATGATTAAAAGCATCGTGGCAGGGCAGAGCAGGTGCGGGCCCCCTGCTGGGGAACAGAGCGCTCTCTCCCGCCAGGCGCCGGCCCGGGGAAACCTCTGAAGGCGGAGGAAGGCCGCAGGATGACAGCGCCCAGAAGACAGCAGACGGGTGTCTTTTAACCTATTGATTTATATTTTATAGCCTCGCTGTTCCCAGAGGGACTTCCGGGAGCCAGAGTGTGACAGCTGGAAGGAACCTCAAAGTCCATCAAGAGTGAAACCCTCAGCCCAACATCCGTATCAAGCACCTGCAGCCAGGGCTGCTCTCTCTGCTTGCACACCTCAAGGGCTGGGGAGCTCATCCCCTAACTCAGCACTAATAACTTCTGCCTAATGGACCAATTCTGCCCCCGGACCATCACCAAGCAACCACTGCCCCTGCCCGCTCCCTTCTGGGGAACAGTCTCCACTCATGTCCACCCCCCTTCGAAGCTCCAGCCATTCCAGGCCTTTGCACAAGCTGTCCCTCACCCAGGACCCTCTTCCCCACCCCACCCCAATTCCTCAGTTAGCTCCTCCTCAACTGTCAGACCTCAGTCTAAAGGACACCACCCCCCGGAAGTCTCCAGACCCCTCCCCCGGGTTCAATATCCCCTCCACCGCCCCAGACCCTGCGCTTCCCCCTCCCAGCACAGCTCACAGGAGCTCCTCCCCACCGCCACACAAACAGCCCGTCGGGGGACGGACTGGTCTTCTGTTATGTCCCAGAGCTGTACCCCATGGTGAAGGCAATGAAGCCAGGCAGAGGCAATGTCCCAGCCACCAGTCGCGAGTCCCCTTCTTCCCTCAAGAGGGCACCACCGTCACCCGCTGAGCTGGTGAGCGTGCGGGCTCCCGAGGCCAGGACCCGGGTCACGCGGGTCAGACACGGCAGGGCAGGGCCTCCAGCTCAGCCGCGGGACTCCCTCCAGGGACGAATGGGAGAAAGGAGCCCTTCTGCGGTTCGTCCCAGGTTAGCCGGACAGCGTGGGGCCAGAGGGCGGCCAGGTGTGCTTCCTGCTGCCACTGTGACCAAACTCCTCCCGAGCTTCAGCCCCCGTGGGCGCCCAGTGAACGCCCAAGGCTGCCTCCCCCCGCGGGACGCGGGGCCCCTGGACCCCGGTGCTGGCTGCCCACGAACCCACTGCTCCAGCACGGGGCGCGGGTTCCGACAGGCCTTCCTCGGCCTCGGTGGTCCCGGGAGCCGTCTGCGGGCGGGGCTGCCAGGGGCCACAGGAGCAGCACCCCTCCCCCACCGCCCACCCCAGAGCTTGCTGTGACCTGCAAGGTGCCGTCAGGCCTTCCGCCCGGCTGTCCACGGCTCGTTTTATAGTTCCAGTGTCTGGTCGTGGCGCCAGCCCTCTGAGGGCCCTCATGCGACCCGCAAGCTACACGAGAATGATTTACTGACAAGGGCTCAACGCCACTGCACGGGCTGCCTGCCTCCTGGATGCGGCCGCAGCTCAGCGGGTACCCTCCACACACGTGGCAGGGCTGGGAGCAGTGAGGGACGCAAGGGACACGCACACGGACAGACACCTGGACGGGCTGCTCCGTCAGGCCCGCCGCACAGCCGCGCACCTCCACAGGCTCCTGTGCTCCCGGGTGGGACTCCCCTCCGCTCCGCCGTCCGCTTGTCCCCTAACCTCCTCGGCCTCCCCGCGCCCCTCCCCGGCACGCTCTGCTCCTCCCAGACTCACTGAGGGCACCTCTGTCTGGGGAGACTTCCGGAACCCTCCCCACCTCTAAGTTCCCGCGGGCCCTGGAGGCAGTGGGTTAAATGCCGCCCCCCAAAGGCCGTCCACCAGGAGCCTGTGCCCTCATTTGGGAAAAGGGGCCTTTGAGGACAGAACTGGAGACCCAGAGATGAGATCATGCTGGACAGCAGGACAAGCCCTACACCCAATGACAAGCGTCCTCAGGAAGCAGACGCGAGCTGGTGCAGATGGCCACGGGAGGCGCAGGCAGGTGGGGGGGTTCAGCCAGCCCCCAGAGGCTGGGCAGGCAGGAGTGCAGCCCTCAGCCCTGCCGACACCCTGACCCCAGCTCCTGTCTCCTGACCGGGGCAGAATACCTCTCCTTGTTCACATCACCCGCTCGTGTTGCTGTGACAGCGCCCAGGCAGCGGGCCCCGATCCCCCACACGCGTGGTACTTATCCGTTTCCTCTGGTCCCTTCCTCCCAGAGAGCGCAGGGCCCTGAGGGCAGGGCCGCTGGTGTCTGCTCTGTCTCTGGGGACAGGCAGGGTGGACAGAGAGGAGCCTGGGGAGGGATGAATGGCATGAACGGCTAACGACCAACCATTCCTGCCCCCCTCTGCCGTGCCCACCTGGGGAACCCAGCTCCATTTCCAGAGTCCCCTCCGGTGGCGCCTGGGCTCGGCCAGAGCACGGGAAAGACCACCCATGACCATTCCTGTTGTGGGGTGAATCATGTTCCCCAAAAGATGTGGCAGTCCTAACCCCTGGTACCTGTGACCTTGTTTAAAAACGGGAATCACCCTGACCCGTGTGGCTCCGTGGTCAGAGCGTCAGCCCATGCACCAAAGGGTCTCGGGTTCGATTCCCTGCCGAGGGCACGTACCTGGGTTGCAGGTTCGATCCCCGTGCAGAAGGCCACCAACTGATGTGTCTCTCTCACATGGACGTTTCTCTCTCTCTGCCCCTTCCTCTCTCTCTCCCTCCCTCCCACTCTCTCTAAAAAGAAAAAAACAAATTAATGGAAAAAATATCCTCAAGTGAAGATAAAAAAAAATAGGGAAATTAAAGTGAGGTGTTTCCATAAGCCGACGGCAGTGTCCTTGCAGGAAGGGGAGGGTGGACGGAGACAGAGGGAGGACGCGGTGAAGACACAGGGAGAAGATGGTCACCACGAGCCGAGGAGGGCCCGGGGCTGCCGGCAGCTGGGAGACGGGCTGGCACGGCCTCTGCCTCCGGGCCCAGGGCACCGAGCCGCCCGCGACCTCGGACCTCCGACTGCGGAACCGAGAGTGGTCATTTGTGTGGCTTAACCACTCTGTGTGGTGATCCGCCCCCAGAGGCATGGGGAGGCTCCTCAGAGGTCCCCCACTTACTCCCTCCCAGGTTCCGCCTCAGGGAATTCTGGGGTCCGGCCCTGGGCTCAGACAGGTGACAGCCCAGCCCCTCCACCCATCGGGCACCTCTCCGAGGCACGAACCCGATGTTTCAGAGAGAGCTGGGAGCCCAGATGCGAAAGGACCCTCTACGCCAAGCGCAGCCAGCAGGACCGAGGGTAGGGGCTCTGCCGATCCGTGGAAGACGCCGCTTTCTCATCAAACCCCTTTGAGGGGGCGTGTGTTTCCATGGGGGGTGCGGGCACGCGTTTCTGCCCAGCTGTCCTGTGGAAATGTTATGTACTCTGCGGTTCTCATAACCTCAGTGAATTTTAATTTCACCCATCGCTCCTTTTTAATAGTCACTGCAAGTAAAACGACCAATGAAACGACAAGATTCTCTTTTTCCTGCCATCGCTGTTTCAGCTGCCGCTCTGGCCAGCCTGCGATTTCCCATCTATTTATGGCAATAAAGGTGACTGGATGAACCGTGATGTCCCCGCCTCACAACACACAAACTGCCCGGGGACCTCCTGGAGGGGTGGGAACGGCTGATGCTGTTTTTAAAACAGACCCCCCTCCCCAGGCTCCAGGGCCCTCCCCGCCTCCCCGCCAGCCCCCAGCCACAAGGCCACCTGCTCTTCCTCTCTTTGGAAGGGGTGCCGTGACATCAGCGCGGAGGAGCGGGGGACAAAGTCACGGCAGGTGAAGGGTCCGGGGCCCGTGGCTGCAGCCTCCTGGGAAGGCCGAGGTTGGGCCACCACAGCCCTGCACAAGGTCCCAGGGCCGCCCCGAGTCCAGACAGGCCGGCACCCCAAGGCCAGTCTTAGGACTGTCAGGAAAAGGCGCCTGCTGGTCAGACCCCGGCTCGGGAAGAAGCCCCTCGGGGCCCATCCGAGCCCTTCGAAGACTAA